AAGGCTTCTCTCTAGCAAAACACTCCTATGCCAGGAATCAAACCATATTGTTTTGCAAACGAGGGAGCAAGTTCCAAATGTAAAACTTGAAGAAGTAAACACTGCCCTTCGCAGTGTTAAAGAGATGGACCAGATGAAATAACTATGGATAGAATGACGAGAGTTGTACCAGCTGCTGGAAAAAAATTGCCAGAACTATTTACGAATGATGCCTCGAACTGAATTTGAAAAGCTACAAACCTAATTGCCTGCTATAACATGAATAAAATTAATCACGAAGATCATTGAGAACGGAATAAATAATGGTTCAGAAAGATGGAGAGTCCCAAAGAAGATTGAACAAAAATATGAAGAGTATGCAACGGAACGTGGAGAGATGCGTAATTGTATTTACACTGACAGACAGGGAAAAATACAAATACTTAAGAAAAAAGCTTCATAGCACATTGATTCCTCCACTCTAAATAAAGATTCTGATTCTGAAGCGGCCTCGGGCAGGGAACATTGCAAGAAGAAATGGTGGCCGCCGGTGGAGACTAGCGAAGCCGTGTCAGCCAAAGGAGTGTACACCGCCCCGAGTGGACGTACTCCGGGGAGATGGAGCCTTTGGGATTGACTCGTGCGAAGGAGACCGGTTGAATTGTTATGTTATGAGGTCATGGGTGACTGGCAACTTTGCCGATGCCTTCATCGCGCATTGAATAAATCATGGCTACTGCTGCTGATGATGATGTGTGTATGCATGGAGAAGTTATTTTGCATTGTACGTAGACAACTGTGCTATTCGGAGGTGCGGGGAAAGGACAAATAAACTAACCACAACAATCAGTTCGAAATAAAGGAGTTTTCAATCTAAAATCATGATGAAGATGATGATGACACTGATGCAAAACTATCCATCCGTGGACAGACACAACTCAGCTGGGAGACAAGCAGAGAGACATTGAAACTGTCACAATCACAATCGTGAGATTGTGAATTAAAACCTCACACAGGCGTCACTCCACAACCACCGTCCCGTCGAGGGTCTCAGCATCGCCCGGCGGGGCCAATCCAGCAGTTGGTATCAAGCTACCAGTGGTTGTCCTATTCACAGACTACTCACTTGTTACTTAGTCCTGCCCATGCGTCAACAGCACACAGGACATCGCAGCTTCTCCACAACTTCTGATCTTCTTGCCATATCACCTGTTTCGTCCTACGTCGTTTCAATAAACTAAACTGGCATTTTTTTACACCAGGAAAATTCCATTATTTCAAAGCGGTATTGAGAGTTGTCTCCCCAATTCTCTATCGGTCTTCCTCCTCTTTCCCTCACTTTTTTCTTTCTTCCAAATACAACTTCATTGCCTGTGCCCCAAATCATTCACAAGCTGGTTCTCCCTAAAGATAAGCCGTGGATTTTTTCCAACACCGGCTGCGTGCCGAGCAAATCGAGATGAAGGCGATCCAATACTCATTTCAGCATTGGGACGGGGAGGCGGGGGTGTGCTTTGACATTTGAACTTTCCTGGGCATAAGTTGATGTGCTCATCTACAGCTTAGTTCTCAGCCCTTCACTCCGCCCCATTCTTTATTTCCCCGTTAGGCCAAAACAAAGACCTTAACTAGCACCTGCACCTAACCTTTTGCTCCCACATGTATTCACCGTCCCTTTCGATTTGCGTGTGTTCATGTCACCGTTAGACTGACGTGTAGGGTCTTACTTGCACCGATACCTTGAATTTCCCTGGCGCCTCTTTGCTCTCATATTATATTTCCACCATTTGGCCGATTCCCGGTTGTTTAGTTCACGACCGTTAAACGCCTCGTGCGCTAGTTGTGCAATATTCCTTCAGGACCCTTCTGTACCGGTTTCTCTGCAGTGTTGATGTTTTTGTTTGCGTTTTTGAAGCTGCTGTGCCCAACGCATCACAGATCTCCCTTGTAAAATGGTCAAACAGCTGGCAAGACTGGATCATCCGTGTAACAAATCAAAATAAACTGTGAAGTAAACCATAAACAAGTGTTGATTTATGCCTTATCGCAACAACGCAAGTCTCTACCCCACCCCTTCCCCCTCCTTCCCCCAAAACACCACATTCCTGATCATTGCCCCTACGTGAGTAAGGGGGGCATAGTGGTCTCAACCACCTTCCCTTTCCCCTTACACGTGGGCACCTGGCCTCGGGCTTGCCATCTGCAGAATAACTGTACGCCTCTCCCCTACCACTCGTGCCTTGGAAGAAGAGGCTCTTGTTCAACAAAAAGAAAAAAATAAAGAATGTCTCTACCCATGGTCCGTGGAATTGCTTTGTGTGTATGCAGATCGTCTTTCGCACGATTAAGTAGCCAACCGTGCAAATCGGACGGTGTTTTTTAGAACACCGTCAATTAGTCAACCGCAGGCCACAGGGCCGATCCGTACGCGTCGACAAACCAACGGGGGATGTGGCCCAGGGTGATGTCGTGCTCGCTTTATTCATTTACCTGCTTGTTGATTCCCGCGAACGCGAGCGAGTGTAAATAAATTAGGTTAACGCAGCGACGGAATCGCTTTTGGGGGCGATGCGGGCAACGGCATTCGCGGGGAGTTTTTATTTTATTTTTTTAAGCGATTACGCACTTAGATGGGGATTACTTTCTCCTTTGCGATCTCTCTCCACTGCATAATGGAGTCCCCCTTTCCGTGGCTGCCAGTGCCCAGAAATAGTTCCTGTTTTTGAGGCGGCAGCAGCAACGTTTTTGTGGTTGCGAAGCTCGTACATACATTACTGGCCTTTGATCAAATTGCCCAAACTGTGCCTTATCTCATCCGATTTCAGTATCCAAGCAGTGTTGGTGGTCCTGTCATGTAGGTTCTCGCGGTTGTGCCTTACAGGATCTCCCGATGCATTTTCTTTGGATTAGCGCAGTTGGCTACCTACGGTGCGATACAAGTTCAACATACAGTACGTGCCGCACGTTGTTTGGCGTGGTGTCCAACTTTTCGTTGCACATGCCGGGAGCTTCTTCAGAAACTGAAAGCTAGAGTTGAGTATGTACATAATTTGTTTGCATGTTCATCACAAGTACCTGTGGTTAATGCAGACAGGATTCCTTGCAAAAGGATTCTGTTTGGTGTTTTAACATCTTAACACCTGTTTTATTGCCAAAAAGGGTCAAACCAATTTTTATATTTTGATACTGGCAAGAAAGGTCCCATATTGTGTAGAACATCCTTCTCACCGTACGTCGCCGACCGTGCTGATCGGAGGTGTGGGGGAAGGACAGCAAACTAAACACAAAAAAAGCACTTCTAAATAAAGTGAGTGTGGTCAGTGCTCAAAGATGAGAATGGATGGCAATTCGAGACATTACAGTCGACTGTTATATCCTCTCCCGCACGCCAAACACTCAATGGTGGAAATGGCCAAAAGATCCCAATTGCAGAGCCCTCGTGAACTTTGCCTCAAGGCTCGAGGCTTTTCTAGGAAAAAAACAAAACAAATGGCATCATTATTATTAATTCAGTACTGCATTTTCTCACACCAGTGTTTGTAAAGGAAAAAAAAACATGACAAAACATCCATGCCTGACGCATGCGATCTCGACTCGCGTGATGGCTGCCCAAGTAGATGTTGGATAAGTTTTAGGTTTGGTCTAACCTTGCTCCTATCTCGCCAACTCTTACTTGATTTCTCACAGATTATTTCCCTGGTCGCTGGTAGACTAGCTGGCTCGTCGATTTTCCGGATAGTCATTGTTTTGCTCAACCATCCTCACGTATTTTTCTTTCGTGGGGAGCGGGAGTGTAGTTGCGGTTAGCGCGATGCGCAATGAACCCGGCAATCCGCGTTCAATTCCCGCTCACGGCCAACATCGGGTGACGAATATCCGACTCGGCCTCAATTGAGTACCTGGTGTAGTGTGTAAACATCGCCAACAGGGAGACAAAGGTGCCCGAGCGTGGTGCTGGCCACCCACCCCTCGTGTGCCATGCCTGCCTTCCCCCGCACCTATGATTAGTATAGTTGGCTACGTACAGTGCGAAAGAAGTTCGACATACATACGTGCAAACACACAAAAAATACGCTGATACAGGGCACGGGGTTAGCGCACTGCGCTATGAACCCAGCGACCAAAGTTTGATTCCTGGCCATGACTGGCTTCAGTTGTGGGCGATATCTGAACCAGTCGCCTACCCATCCCAATCCCCCCTCCCCTTCACTCTTCACTAACTCACACTGATCAGCACTGTGATATACGCTCAAAAAGTTCCCATCCAGCTGTGACATTGGGATGTAGGACTTGACCAGCGTGCACAGTGCACTCCAACGTGCACTGCACTTGCCCCCGGATACCACGCAACTCTGCGCTCAAAATCCTCGGATACAACCACCGCTCGATTGCCTGCTGTACACTGGCTGCCCTGCCCCCAAAGTCATTTAACCTTTCGCCTTGGTTTGAAACGAGCTCCGAACACAGAACGGTTGGAGCGGATGTGGCTGATTGCCCAATGGAGGCAGACAAAGCACTTATAATAATACATCTACGACGAATACTATGCCAGATTAGGACCAGGTTTTTTTTCTTTTTTATTTGCTCGCACACACACACACGCGCGCACACAAAGACAAAGATCCCCCCCATAGCCTTAATACACTCTTGGCATAAGTGCTGGTAGCGAGCAACCTATGAAAACCGACACATTAAAGGTGCAGGTTGCCAGCACCACGCCCAGCCACCTTTGTCTCCCTAGAGGCGATGTTTACACACCGGACCAGGTACACGTTTTAGGCTGGGACGACCTCGAGGACGCCCATGGCTTGTTCAGATAATTGTCACCGGCGTTGGCCGTGAGCGGCAAACGAACTCGGGTCGCCGGGTTTTTAGGGCAGTGCGCTAACCGCTGCACTACCGCTCCGCTGCACACACACAGACTCTGCCTCATGCTGCCGCACATCCCCCCCGCCGCAAGGCAGCGAGGGGCCGGGGCTCACGCGACGGCGTGGCGAGTGAGCGGAACTAATGGCCTTTACCTTCCACCAGCGAGGTGAGCAAGGTGACGTTGGCTGCTTTCCTGCGCCCCGCGGGGAGGTTTAACCCCAGCCGGTCGAGTTTCTCGCGCAGGCACCGGCCACCGTTCTTCGACTTGGCTCTGGCGGTCACGATCAGAAGTATGGGAAACAACATGAGGCGTGCGCACTGGTGAGTTCCACTCAATCGATGAGTTCACGATGATGATGATCATCATCATCATCGATTCATTTCAGCAAGGTCATCATAATCATCATCAGCAGAGATTCATTTCAGCAAGGTCATCATAATCACCATCATCAGGTTAATCTCAGTCGGGTCATCATTATCATCATCATCAGGGATTCATTTCAGTTGGGTCATAATCATCATCAGGGATTCATTTCAGTTGGGTCATCATAATCACCATCATCAGGGATTCATTTCAGTCGGGTCATCATAGGCATCATCAGGGATTCATTACAGCGCTTGTGAGAAGGATAACATTGTTGTAAGGACATACATTTTTTGCCTATGACCAAATCACCCAGAATGCACTTGATTCTGTTGGGCCTTGCTAGCTAAGCTGATTTGGGCCTGGAGAGTACCTTAGATGGGTGACCACCTTGTCCAAAAAACAGCATAACTAGGCAGTGAGAAACAGGGGGCATTGTGGCAAAATCCACCGTGATTCTGTACTCCCTGCAACCTTCACCAATCTGACCAACGTGGTGAGGCATGGGCAGATAACCCTCATGGCCTGCGTGGTGTGGAGAGGCCCTCATCCAGCACTGGATTGCCATGTGGGCCGTGTGTAAATATAGATACATTCATACCCATCCTATTGATTTTTCCACAACAACTTTTATTTGAATACACGCTACTTGTTAAAAAAATACATTTAAGTGAAACGGAAAGCCACTCTGACCAACGACAACCACAAACGTGCACTACTCACTATGCCGTGTCAATTCCCCTTGCTTAACTTTGGGCTGGAACCATCCAGAACCCAGTTCCGAAAATTATTTTGGCTATCCTACATCCATCCATCTATCTCGCCTAGTTTTTTTTTTACGACAACCGTGAGCCACCACCATCTAATTTGTATTAGCCTGTTCATCGAATTATAGGAATGTAGTAAAGAATGATTTTGGATAGTACTGTGTGCTCTAGTGGGAGTGCCTTCCACCAACAAAACCTGCTCCAAGCCGGCCTAGCAGCGTTGCGGAAAATATCGAGTGAGATGTTAACCTTTTACTAAACTAAAATTAAACTATGCTTATTTTACCAGGTAAGGCCGACTGAGCATTGTAGCTCTTGTTCAGTAGCGACCTCGCCACAAATGATAGCTCAACGAAGTGGCTTATTATGTGGCAATATGCAGCAGCCAAATACTCTAACTGCACTTTATATATGTGGAGGAAAAAACCGGATGCACTGTAGAAAAATTATACGCAACCACGAGGAGAAAATGAAAACTTCAAATATACTGGCATCAGGGTCGGGATCGAACTCCTGCATACCAGGCGAGGTAGTTAACATCTCACCTAAACCACAGAGAGAACAAGCGCATCCCAAGCAAAACAAACACTCTCACAGTCACTTAGCCACACCGGCATTAGCAACAAGCTAAGGGCTGCAGAGCTTCAACAGCGATGTGTCGAGGGTCAGGCTTATTACTGCGATACCCCGTGAACTTTGCAAAGGAATGAATGTCAGATGGAGAAATCCCATCTCGCATGAAATAACATAAAAATATACGGGGTGTTTGAAAATGATGGACTAAATTTCAAAGCAGTATATTTCACGATGGCAACATGTTACAATTACACACAAAGTTACAAACGGTTTAATGAGTTATCAAGTTTTACTAACCGTTTGAAAAATGCTCTATGTGCGCCCTCCACCTGGTGTAAGGACAACATCGAGACAATAGTTGAATTCGTCCCAAACGCCTCTCTTCTCACGTTTTCCTCTGAGGTGCGTGGTCGCCCTGTGCTCTTCCCCTTACATAAACAGCAGCCCGTGTCCTCAAATTGTCGGTACCAACGACGAATGCTCTTTGACATTGGTGGATCAATGCCAAAACGCCGTTAAAACGCACGCTGCACGGCAATTACGGATTCAGTCTTGCTGAACTGAAAAACGCAAAACGTCCCTTGTGTTGCGGGGTCGCCATCTTGAGAATGACTGAGGCTATGGGCTGTTTGTGCGCTGGGAGAGGCATCGAACTCTATGCCCCGCCCTTTCAAGTGGTAAGAGTTTCATTCATGGGCGGTTCGTGGTTGCAGAGATATAGCGATTTCAAATCGGGTCCATCTTTTTAAAACACCATGAATATCTCTCCCCCGCGCATCGTCCTCCCTTCTATAAGAGTCTGAACTTCTCTGCTCATCCTTGCCTTTCCCTCCCCGAGACACCCAACCCATCCAAACTATGTACGCGTGTTTAATTTGATCGTAACCTTCAGTAAAATGTGCTGAGCAAAGTCTGAACGCAAGCGCATTCTTGCGCCGAAATGCGCAGCTTTTTACGAGTGATTAACGTATAAATATGTAAAGAGTTACAAGACAATACCATTAACAAGACGGCAAGCATTCTACCGACGTTACCGTCAAACGCCGCTCCGCGCGAGAGTTCGCGGGAAGCCGCGCGCATTTCGACGGCGTGACCTATTTAGGAAAAGGTGTTGGACTAATTGTGCTCAGCACGCCCGATCGCGAGCGTAGTTGTCAAAAAAATAAACACGGCCGCTATTTGCAAAGCTCTATCGACCGAATCAATCCTCAAACCTGTAATTAAAGTAGGGTGAGAAGCAATTACAGTATCTTTGCATTATTTCATTAGCTAGGGACATTAGTATCATTGCTGTTGTTGTTAGTGACATGAGTAAAAATTTCTGAACAAGTAGACAGGTGACCCTTTATGGTCAGTTGGTGGCCCACTGAAAAAGCAGGGCACTCCGTCAAAGTGAGATCTAATTTGAGATTTTGGCGACGACACGCAAAAAAAACTTCCATCTTGCGAATAGTGCCAAAGGGTCTTTAACATTTTTACTTCATGCGCGTTTTTATACCAAACAACAAAAAAATACCAGGTGGGCAAGAGATTCCATGCAGTGGCTCTGCACAAACACGTTCAGCGGTGAGCGAATTGACTGCGCATGTAGACTGCGGGTTTATCCATGTCAGAAACGTCAAACTCAAATATGCTACTTAATATCCCTGCAGCTAAATAGAACAACAGGTTTTCACAAATCGTTGTTTTTCTTTCCCCACACTGTAAATATGGTCACACATTTTGGGGACAAATGCTGCTTTACGCAATGCGCTGTCCATCATCATCTTCATCATCATCGTCAGCCATAATCAATCCACTGCTGGATGAAGGCCACTCTGAAACGTTATCATCTCTCACGGTCCTCATGCCTGCACTGTTGAGATCCGAGGTTCAAATTCAGGTTTTAGAGCACACCTGTGATTTTAACCGGGTTCTCAAGTGCCGCGAGTTGATGATTTCAGTGGAGTCACCAACGACTGCACACATGAGTTTAGAGTATTTGGCTGCTATGGATTTCCACGCGAATAGCCACTTCTCGTTGAGCAATCATTTGTGGCCAGGTCACTTCTGATAAAAGAGGTACTGTTTATAGCTCAATGGGCCTGACCTGGTAAAAAAGAGATTTCGTTTTAGAAAAATCTTCGTATTAAACTCCATTCGTAATTTATTTGACTTATACAAGCTACCCAGTATAAAACAAACGTTTGACTTCCATGAAACAAACACTCTGTAGAGGGAATATGAGCAACACATTGTGACACAAAATGTCAGCATTATCAGTGTGATTATTTTTTGGTGTGTTCAATGTTCTAATATGGTAATTACTCCACAAGTCGACAATAAAATCGTGTAATTGCTCCTCTAGGCGATGTAAACATTTATTTTAAGCTTCCCACAGTTACAATTTGAATGGGGATGTCACATGAGCCTCCGCGCGTGTGTGCGTGCGTGTAGCTGAACGCAGTCCACGGGGCTGCACGCCGCTCGTCACGACCCGGTGCCAGATGTGGCGGCGGAGCGGACAAACGCGTGCCGTTACGCAACGCGTGCTGCGACGACCTCCCAAGCGGGCCGACAAACTTGCGCCACACAAGCACAGCCAGCCGGCTCCGGTGGGGAGGGGAGGAGGACTAACACTAGAATGACGAGGCATTGTAAAACACCTCATTGCTCCCCTGAATATTGGTACCCACAGGGAGAATGGATTTTTGTTCTAACCAGCAAGCATGGTTAGAGTGAGGATTAAGGTTCGGGTTGGGTTAGGTTACGGTTTTGATTCGGTAAGTTGGTAGGGTTAGGTAGGCAAGTGGAAGGGTAAGAGATACGATTAGGTTATTGTGAGGTTAGGGTTAAGATTAGGTTAGGATTAGGATTAGTTTACAGTTGGTTTTGGGTTAAGTGCCATGTCAGGTTTGGCTCATTGAAACGTGAATGCATGTTTCACAAATAGCTTTGGAAAAGTGGTACCTAAAATAGCATATGTTTTGTTTGAATAGGCATGTATATAGACTTACGTTCAAAACCTGAGTAGTCAAGTGGACTTTAACAGACCGCACTGTTGAAGAATGTGTAATAGACCAAAGTTCATGTTTCTTTAATTGGGCAACGATATAAGGTTTTGGAAAAATGAGACGGTGGGAGAGAATGGCAGTGTCGAATAATCCGAGAAAAGACGCAGACAGAGGAAAGTAGGGGAGTGCCACGGTGGCGAGATGTCAACTACCTCGCCCGGTATACAGGAGGTCGTGGGTTCGATCTCGACCCTCACGCCTATATATTTGGAGTTTGTGTGTTCTCGCTCCCCGTGGTTATGTATAATTTCCTTCTGGGTCCTCCGTTTTTTTTTCTCCTCACATTTTCAGTCGGCACGTGTTTAGCGTATTTGCCTGCTAGAAATGCCCACGTGATAAGCCACTTCGCTCAGCTACCATCATGTGTGGCCAGGTCGCTTCTGAAAAAGAGCTGTGTAGCTCAGTGGGCCTTACCTGGTAAAATTAAAATATATTTTAGTTTAGTGTTGTGACCTGCAGTGTGGTGGTTGAACCCAGGGTGGATGAGATGGAACGGATCAGTTTAAACTCATCGATGCTGTTAGAGGACATCAATGAGGGAAATTCATAGGAATAGTAGCCATGGTAATAGCGATTTAAGAGTGATGAGGAAACTGACCACCAGTAAGTAAGTGACTGGAGCGAATCACTGAGTGCTGGTCCATAAATCAACCCTGACTGGTGTTAATATCTCTCCCTCCACGTAAAAAAGCACAGGTATATATGAGACTCCCGTCAAATACAAGGCCTAGTCGTGGGAGTGCATGATTTCAGCAACATTGGTTCAATGCAATCAAACTCTGGACCGGTTTCGACATACAATGTCCCATCAGCAGATTCAGACTTGCTTGAACTAATGCTGCAGAACTTTCCAAATATTTTAGGCAAGGGCCCTCTCTTTAATATATGGATCCTTTTTTTATGCAACGTCATAAAAATGCATACCGCTAAAAATTAATTAGCGTAGTTGTGGAGGATGCATTGCAACAAAATAAATAAGCGAACACCATATCCCCTTCATATATTTGAACACGGGGAGCACAAACAAACACACTTTTATTCATTTGACGTGGAGGGACAGATATATGAAGGGGTTAACAAGGTAGTCTGCTTATTTATCTTCTCCACAACGACGCTCATCATAATTCCGTGCTATGTATTCAGGTATAATGGTTGATGCAGTGTGCCAGATGGGACAATATTTACCAGGACGCCCTCCAGCTACAGGCTGAGCCCCAGCTGAAATTAATCCATGGTTCCACCTCAGCATCTACCCCACTGCCTCCCCCCACAACACACCTCACCTTCTATTCAACTATTTTAGTTTTACCAGGTAAGGCCCACTGAGCTACATAGCTCTTTTTCAGAAGCGACCAGGCCACAAATGATAGCAGAACGAAGTATCTTATCACGTGGAAATGTACAGCAACCAAATCCTCTAAAGGTATGTTGATTCTAAATGTAAAAAGGAAAAACCGGAAGACCCGGAGAAAAATCCACGTGACCACGGGAAGAACATGCAAACTCCAACTACAGTAGTCCCTCGGTTAACAGTGACATCGGTTAACGAATTTTCGGTTAAAGTTCTGCCTCCAATAGGACCCCCATTGTTTTGACTAACATTCACATTTTTACTAACGGTACGTTTATGTTATGCACTTTCGGCCAATCCGAGTACTCGTAAGTGGGGCTGAGCCATGCCCTCAGCCAATCAGGGACGCCCATTTATGAGCCGTTTAGACCTCAACTGGCTTTGTTTACATTACGTTTTCTGTTTTGGGTTAATGCTTTGAAAATATAATTCCTATATCCGATTAACAGTTATTTCGGTTAACAGTAGTTTTTTTTTGTGGAACGGATTAAAAAAACGTTAACCGAGAGACTACTGTATACAGCCATCAGGGTCGGGATCGAACCCCAATGACCTCCATGTACACCGGGCGAGGTAGTTAATATCTCGCCACCATGGCACCCCGTGAACTAGGCGCAGCAGTAGCGGGCGTAGTCGCTCACCTCCTGAGGATGCCGCCCAGGAGGGATGCGTTGAGACATTCTGGGGGAGACAGGCGCCGCTTCACCTCTGCGATGGTCACCTTGTACTTGGACGTCGAGCTGAGGAGGGACAGCCGGCCGGGCACCGAGCAGAAGAGGTCAGTGGGGTTGACCGCTGCGGATCCGCCTGCGCACCGCATGGGGAGGCACAGCGCACGATGAGGCGCCGCAAAAGCTGGGCCCGCACGCGCGCCTCCTTCACGCATCTGACCCTCCATGTTAATGCACGTCCCATCGGGCACACGCACGCACACACACACACCACTGCAGCTTTGGTTCAACAGAAGCAAACTCTGGACCGGTTTTACGAAACTTTGCACTCCTATCGTTTTAGTTTTTTTGTTGTCGTACCTTCATGACCTGCCCCCCTTACTGGACGTGTAGGGGGGAAAAAAAAGGTTCACAGCTCGTCAGATTTCTTCAGGATAAATAAAGATTTTGACGATTCTGGTCAGTGTCTCATCAGCGGTGTCAGAGGCTTGCTGGTGAACTGCCAGATGTTTAGAGACAAAGACACGAGTCCTAGTTTAACGCAAACAGACTCAAATTTAGACTTAAAACTTTCGTGACTGCAGGAATTCATATTCTTGGTTCTTTCGGTAAAGTCACGTAGAAGGGAAACAAAAATCGAAATTAAAACCAAAAAATCCACGACGTTTCGATCACAACACAAGCGTTCTTCTTTCATTGGAGAGAAAAGAGGCTCACTCGATATTCACTGAACGTCGAAAACGGTACATTTGGCTGTCACTCCAGCGGTAAGTTTGACTAAAAACCATCACTCTTTCCCTTCTAGCGAACGATTTGTCAATATGACGTCCCTAACTTTTGTTTGTTCTCTAAACCACGTGCCAATGCGTTAAGCCACTCATTTAAGAAGCCTACACTACCAGGTAATTAATAACACGTGTAATATCTATAGAGCATGCTTGGGTATGAAACCACCATATATAACAGGTGCTATAGGTTACTGCAGTGGGCTTGGTTTTTTTTATACAGCAGAGAGTGCAGCAAAAGCCATTGTTATACTGTATACTGTACTGTACTTGAATGCACCCACGGCTATGCTCCCCGTCTTCACTAACCCGCACTGACTATCTTCTTTGGTTCTTTCGGTAAAGTCACGTAGAATGAGAATAAAATAATAAAATAACACAATAAAATTCTCACGCCGTTTCGGCCACAACGCAAGCAGCCGTCTTCAAGTGAAAGGTACAGAACTGTCGGGACGACAGAGCTTCAATGAACGATGTTACGATTCGTAGCGACTTTTAAGCTGGTTGGGAGAAGTGAGGCACCTTGACAAAGGGGTTTACATTTCAATAGCTGAGGGATTAGCTTGTGACTGGTCACGGAAATGGCTATGTTAAAGTCAAAACCTACACATCCACAGAGGCAACTAGTAATTTAGCATTGAAATAGCTAAGGGATTAGCTTGTGACTGGTCACAGGAATGGCTATGTTAAAGTCAAAACCTACACATCCAGAGGCAACTAGTAATTTAGCATTGAAATAGCTAAGGGATTAGCTTGTGCAAATAGCTGAGGGATTAGCTTGTGAATGGTCACGGAAATGGCTATGTTAAAGTCAACACCTACACATCCACTAGTTGCCTCTGTGGATGTGTAGGTTTGGACTTTAACATAGCCATTCCTGTGACCAGTCACAAGCTAATCCCTTAGCTATTTCAATGCTAAATGACTAGTTGCCTCTGTGGATGTGTAGGTTTTGACTTTAACATAGCCATTTCCGTGACCAGTCACAAGCTAATCCCTCAGCTATTGATATTAAACCCCTTTGTCAAGGTGCCTCACTTCTCCCAACCAGCTTAAAAGTCGCTACGAATCTTAACATCATTCACTGAAGCTCTGTCGTCCCGACAGTTCTGTACCTTTCACCTGAAGATGGCCACTTGCGTTGTGGCCGAAACGTCGTGATAATTTTATTGTGTTATTTTATTATTTTATTCTCATTCTACGTGACTTTACCGAAAGAACCAAAGAAGATGAATCCTTGCAGTCACGAAAGCTTCAAATCGAAATTTAACCACACTGACTAGCCTGGTGAAGTATGGTCAAACAAATCCCCACGACTGCCACGTTGTGGGGAGGTGTTCAGTCAGCATGGGGATGGAAATGGGACGTTAACTATTAGTATTAATCCTATTATTGATAAACATTAACGCTCGGACTAGAGCAGTGTCCTTCATTGCAAGGCCCGCGGGCCACTGGCGGCCCCTGGTGGCAATTAGTGCGGCCCCTGATGTCCAGCCCCCGACAATACACGGCACGTAAAAACACTCTACCCATCCTCATCATCGTCGTCGTCGTGCTGCTGTCAAACGCCACAATGGTTTAAAATTCTGTGGCGGCCCTCACACCGATGATGTCTTATCGGTGAAAGTGCCCCCCCCCCACATGAAAATTAGTGGAGAACACTGGACGAGAGAATGTGGCAATTGTTAGAACAATCTTATCGGCTCCGGAAAATGTAAAGCGAGGGTAAGAAACATCGCTGGACGGGATGGACGATGGCCAATGGGTCAAGCGGGATGGCGGAATGGCAGCCGAGGAACGGAACGTTGTCCAAGAGTACGTTCAAGGACATGGAGCGAAATCGGCTGTTGTGCAGGAGCTAGAAGTGGGTGTTTTACTTCGCAGGATCGTGAGAGGAGGCTATCGCGCTCGGCGTCGGGAGAACGTCATCCAGCAGTAGATTGACAAAGGCCCGTAAAATAAGTATTAATGACATTCTTTAAGGGAAGCTGCACTGAGTACTCTAAAGTTAAACTCTTTTTTTGTGATACTGTGTTGGCAGTGGTGAATAGGCACGCTTAAAATATTGGCCATGCATCAATAACCCTTACCTAAGAATTGAAACATATAAATAGGCGACGTGTCTGCCAATGGGCCCTTCATAGCGCCACTGGCATGAGGCTACAAAGAATCACCCGTAACAGGCTATAGGGGCAAGTGCTGTAAGCGAGCAGCACCCTATGAAGGCCGGCACGGCAAACGAGGAGGGTGGGCGGGTGGCCAGCACAACGCCCGGCTGCCCTTGCCCTCCCCAGTAGCGATGCTTACACACCGCACCAGGCACTCATTCGCGGCCGAGTCGAACTAAGAGAGGGCCCAGGACCGGTTTAGCTCACAGGGCATTTCTAAATAAACTGTTCTAGACTGTTCTGTTCCGTGGCACAGCGCGCCGACCGCTGTGACATCGCCCCCCACCGCCCCCCACCGCGAGGTAAGATTTGACCCGCGTTGAACCGCACGGAGTGGGAGAGCGCCCAGCCACCTGTTACCGACGCGTCACTCGCACGGGGAAGGGATTCATCCGCCGCACTCGTTGATGCAGCGCACTCGGGGGGGGGGGGGGGGGGGGGGGGGGTCGCGCGGTTCGTCTGCCAAGTGGATCGCGCGCTCGGTTGTAACCCTAATGAGCGAGGTTGAGGGCCTTTGGAGACAATGAGTGTGGCGAGAGCCTCGGGAGCGCTCTGATGCTAACCCCAAGCCCAAGCGATATCAGTCAGCTGTGCCCCTAACGTAGTGCAGTACTATATTACAGACCCAACTAGTATCGCCTTTGATTCCTCTAACATTGTTATCGCGATCTTCAATCAAACAGGTTCGATATTTCCATATTACGAGGCATAGTCAATCCACTGCTGGATGAAGGCCTCTCCCCAAGTCGTTGCATCTCTCAACAAACCACCTCTAACACCTACACACACCGTCATTATTCCTGCGTGGTGTGTTCTGCCTATGAATCCACTTTTTTTGTACAATTCGAAGCATGTATTTAACCTGCATATTTACGTGTTGGCTTCATTGCTTTGCTGAACTCTACTAAGCTTCAACGTATATGCTCCCCGCCTTAATTGCCCCCCACTGAGCAGTGTAGTATGGTCGAATACTCTGTAAGACCCGCATGGAGTGGGGGGAGGCTTTTTACTCGGCACTGGATGAATAACGCGTTGACTGAGCATGTACGACTAACACTATATTTGGTATGTTAATGATTGAATTTACTGAAGTATAATATTAATGCAGCGTGGACAAAAAATATGCGTGTAATCAGATATAGTTTAATATATACACGAGGCCTGCATCAAGCACCGAATCGCTTGCGTGGGTAAAATCGATTATATTTGAGTGACGCAAGCAAACATGCCAAAGTCATCTTCTTTGGTTCTTTCGGTAAAGTCACGTAGAATGAGAATAAAATTATAAATTGATAAAATAAAATAACATAACACAATAATATTCTCACGACGTTTCGGCCACAACACAAGCGGCCTTCATCAGGTGAAGGGACGAGACTGTCTGGTAGGACAGCGCTGTTATGTTATTTTATTTTTGATAAAATAAAATAACATAACACAATAATATTCTCACGACGTTTCGGCCACAACACAAGCGGCCTTCATCAGGTGAAGGGACAGCGCTGTCCTACCAGACAGTCTCGTCCCTTCACCTGATGAAGGCCGCTTGTGTTGTGGCCGAAACGTCGTGAGAATATTATTGTGTTATTTTATTTTATCAATTTATTATTTTATTCTCATTCTACGTGACTTTACCGAAAGAACCAAAGAAGATGAATCATTGCAGTCACGAAAGCTTTAAATCGAAATGCCAAAGTCACTTTTAAGGTAAGTGCGAGAGAGAAATGTACAAAACACTGCTCAAGCGAAACAGTTTGCAATGCAAAATGGACTAAAGGAGGCGGATAAAGCGAGGCCAAAAAAAATTCCATTTATAAATATGTATATAAAATAATCGCGGCCTGGCATCACGATTTCATCAATTCTCGGAAAGGAGGATGAAGGTGAATATTTGTTCCCAGTGCCAAGATATTCCCAATCGTCATCACGTGCGTCTATCCGTGTCTGAAATTGCAAGTTAAAAGACATGATTTGATTATGACAATTCGTTGCCAGTCGTGCACAAGCACAAATACCAAAAACAAGAACCGCACTCACACTGCCGCAACATGTGCTATGAAAGTAGGCCCATTGCCCGAAACGTCGTCAACGAGTATTATTAATTTTCTGTTAAGGCAGTGTGTTGTTGACCACGAGTTTGTGAAGTGTTTTATTTTTTATTTTTCCCCCACGTGCATGTTGTG